TTAAAGATTCCATTTTTAAAAAAAAATTTTAATGTTTGTTTTTGAGAGAGATAGAGCATAAGTGGGAGAGGGGCAGAGAGAGAGGGAGACACAGAATCCAAAGCAGGGTCCAGACTCTGAGCTGTCAGCAGTGTCTGATGCAGGGCCCAAATTCATGAACCATGAGATCATGACCTGAACCAAAGTCAGACACTTAACCAACTGAGCCACCCAAGCCCTCTAGTTTTTTAAAGATTTCAAATTAAGTTTAAGTATGCTCTCCAAAGCAAGTGTAATAAAAGTTTTTAAATACAAACGAGGAGGACACCTCACAAGAACATCTATTCAACCATTTCTTTAACTGTAGGTAGTTTGTGACATAGTTACAGTGTTTAAACAAAACAGTAAAATTAAGAGTGGATGGAATTTTAAAACTGTTTCTTAGAAATTGGATCATTGCAGGTACATTTCTTGATGACCTCATGTGCACTGAATCTGTGCTCTCAGATTTTTGTCCCTCAGTATCTGTGGACATACACACATGTATACATGTTTTGTTTTTTTTTTTTTCACCTGGCTTAAAAATTTGTTTTTGTTTTGTTTTGTTTTGTTTTGTTTTGTTTTGTTTTGTTTTGTTTTTGAGATGGCTAACTGGGCTTAAGAAGCCTAACTGCCATAAATCTGTTTTGACTATTTCATAGTGTCTTAAGATAGCTTAGAAACAAAGTAAGTGCTCAGAAATTGAAACCTTGACCTTGATCCCACTTGTCATTTGATCTATTCAACTGAATCAACCAACTATAGTCTAGCTAAATAACATATGTCATCAAACTCACATCACCTTCAGTTGTCAGTATTGGCCTCATGCATATCACATCCTAGTAGAAAAACATAATCATTACCCCTTAATATTCCTTCCCAGTTCTGTAATGTACTGGGGAAGAAGGGCATAAGTCAGATATGGTTCATGGTTATCTTCCAAGAAGATGCAGTCCCCTTGAATGAGTGCTGGTGAAGCATTTATGAACTTTTTTCTTATAAGGATGCTTCTGCCACTATTCTGACAAAAAATAACTTTGATTTGCTCTATTTGACTTTAAATGAAAATTAACATGGTTAGGAAGTAGTGTAAATTGCATTGTAAAGTACATTTCACAATTAATGTTGTCCAAAACATATGATAACTAACATTGTGCTTGGTGGACATATTTTTCCCTTAAAATTATATTCATTCTTTTATTCAACAAATATATTTGCATGTATTTTGTATAAGATACTTAACAGTGGATATAGAATGAAAAAGAAAACATCCTAGGTTCTTATGGAGCTTACATTCTTGTGATTGGAGAGAGACAAAAAACAAGCAAATAACTACAGTAATTTCAAGTGGTGCTAAACGCTATTTTAGAAATAAACAAGATTATGTGACCAGGTTGGGAAGGGTGCTACTTTAGATAGGATGGTCACAGAAGACTTCTCTGTGGAGGTAACATTTGAATAAGACCTGACAATGGATAAGGAACTAGACATTTGAAGAGGTGAAGGAAGAATATTCCAGTGGGAGAGACCAGCAAGTTGTAAAGCCTCTCAGGTAAAAAAATGAATTTAGTATGTTAAAAGAATGGACTAAGAAGATCAGTGTAGCCAGAGTGTAACAAGCTGGGGGAGAATGGAAAAGAGATACAGTTGATAGGAAAAGCACCTTGTAAGCCACTGTAAAACATTAAAGGCAATTTTAAGATTAATGTCCCGATGCCTGTGAATCTGAGCTTTAAAATACATTTTTTCCCTAGTCAGACTCTTTACACTTTGCTGCTAAAAGGAAATCTACTTAATTATAATTTTTATTTCAAAATTTTAATTTAAATATTGCTTCTTTTTGACTCTTGTTATTTCCTTTAAATTTAGAATCATCTTATTGTAAAGGTTCCCCCATATCATGACCAACATATAACTTTGCCAGTATCCGTGGGAATATATGTAGTGACCAATGCTGGAAGATCTCATGATGTTCAGCCATTCACTTACACTCCAGACCCAGGTATGTCAAAATAAAGAATTCTGATCTAAAACCAGTAATTAATTTCTAGTTCTTTGGAAGCAATTGAAGTCCAGCCAAGCAAAATGAAAAAGTTGTATGCTAAGATGAGTTGATACTAAGGGCATTATTTCCTAAGAAGATAGCCACCAAATACTGCTTTTGCTCTTACATCTAGGGTGTCATTTTGCCTTGTGCTGTCCTGGTTAAAGAAAAGCTAGGAGGGGCGCCTGGGTGGCGCAGTCGGTTAAGCGTCCGACTTCAGCCAGGTCACGATCTCGCGGTCCGTGAGTTCGAGCCCCGCATCAGGCTCTGGGCTGATGGCTCAGAGCCTGGAGCCTGTTTCCGATTCTGTGTCTCCCTCTCTCTCTGCCCCTCCCCCGTTCATGCTCTGTCTCTCTCTGTCCCAAAAATAAATAAATGTTGAAAAAA